ACTAGTTATACATTAGCAAAATGTCCTACCCTTGCAGGAAAACACAGAGATATAGGAGGAAATGAGTTGAATTGCAACTTTGGAAAAGAGGAATTCTGGTGCTTTCTCCTTCTCTGAAGCAACCTCAGTGGGAGGATAAATTTACTCAGACACATGATTTCCTTTGGCAGGGCTGCTACTGAGTTCAAAACATTTTCCAACAACCATTTGTGGGGCAAGGATAATAAGCTACCCCTTTCCCTCTGAAGCAATTGCAGGAGGGAAGGCAAAAAATGAGTCCTAGTGACAGTCCAGTCCTTGATTTACATCCCCTGCAATGGCTGTCTGCAGAGTGAAGGAAGGCTGAACCTTCTCTTCCCCTCCAGAGCATTCACAAGGGCAAGAGATTATCCCTCACAAATGCCATGGTGTAGATACACTTGTCCTGATAGAATACTCCCTCATGCTGAATTTGAAAGAGGAATGCACACCGATATATAAAATTAAGGTCAGACAGCAACCGAACTCATTCTGCAGCAACTGGAGTAAGCAGCAGGCATGGTGTTCTTGTTGCTAAGCATTATGCTCTTTTCTGGCATCCAGTATTCCTTGATTTACTTGGTTTCTTTTGCAACAAGGGCTTTATTTCAAGTACACTTCCTGCTCTCATAAATAAATTGCTAGCTGCCCAAATGTAATGAAGAGCTGGAAGAAAGCATTTTGTGCCATTAAAAAAGAAAAGAAAAGAAGAAAAGAAGGCTGGTATTTTCATCCATCCAAAAGAACAGCCTAGCTCATTGGAACATCTGCCTGCACTATTTCCGTTGAGACACAGTCTATCCTTTATCCAATAAAGTGCACTGTCAGCAGCCAGTACCAGCACATCTTAATTTTGTGGTTTGCTCTCAGATTCTTCCTCACGCTGTTAGCTGACACCCTATTACCTTTATGCTTACCAGCATGGCAATTTACAAGAGTCTTCGGCAAGATCTTTCAGGCCTCCTCCACACCCTGGCCCCACTTTATACTAGTTATCCAAAGGACACCAACGCAGAGAAACCGAGAAGAGACTTTTTTGCAGGAGTCCCCATGGCAATGCTATCGATTGAAGAAGTGCGATTTTTCTCCCCTCTATGAAATATAACGATGTCTCGACAGCACAGCTCAGAGAAATCACCCATTATAGGCAGCTGCACAAGAAAAAGCTGAGTAGGTCAGGTAATGAGGGATAATGATAGGTAGTAAGTTCAGCGTCTAGGTAAGCGAGTAGCCCAAGTAATGTTCTTAAAGATTTTTTTTTTAAAAAAAAAGACATTCGCTACACACCAAGAAAATTGACTAGGCAGCAGAATACACAAAAGAGGGGGAAACTTTATTGTATTATTATTTTCACTCTGCATCCTAAAAAGTACTGTACGTTACAGAACCTTACAATGTACCAAGTACTCAAACAAGACTTACTAAATCATGTACAAATACAATGCATGACCATCCTGATAGATTGACATTTCCCCTGAACAGTTAAATGGGAGTGTTTTTATGTTCAGTTAGTTATTAGGGGCACTGAAAATGAACTTTCCCTCCCTCTCACACAGGATCATGCTCAACCCTCTTCCCTTTTGTGATGTTTCCCTCCCCACCCTCACAATTTTATTTTTTAAAGGTGTGCAGGGGTAATTTGAGCAAAAATTGGGGGAGTCATGAGGATAAGAAATGGATATTGAAACTGTGGGTCTTTATATTGGGTGATATCCCAACATCAGCTGACATAAATCCAGCCCCCAAACAGCTAGAAGTTCAGTTCTTAATTTGTATGATTTTAATTTGTTCGATTTGCATCATACTGCAGAATATGCTACGGCTTTTTAAATGAGTCAGGTGTGTGACTACTCAAACAAAGCTTGTCGCAGAGATAGAAAAGATTCATGCTTTCACCTTTTCTCCTTAGAAATAATTTTTATGCAAGTATAATTTATAAATGAATTAAAAAAGAGATGTAAGCATGTAAAAGCTCCAGGAATGCTGAAACATGGAACAATCATAAGCTAAGCTTGGTAAATAAACCATGTTCGGGGGGGGGGGGGGCTGTTACCAATGAGCAGCACAGTCGCTAGTTTACCTAAATTGTGTTTTTGCTTCGACATGCGAGTTATTTATTAGCAAATCCTCCTTTCTTCATGCTCTAGTCTGTTATTTAAAATGTAGATTTTATTTAAGAGATTTTATTTACATGACAATTTCAAGAAATCTTTCAGGCACTTGGGAATTGGCTGTTGCTGGCTAACCAATGTAACAAAAAATGTGTCAGTGCTCTGAAATGAGAAAATTAATACCTTTTTCTAGCTTATGTTTTCAGTGAACTTTTCCATTTAGTCTCATTAAAGAGGCAGCACAATATATGTCGTCCAGTTTTATACAACATGAGGCTGAACATGCAGCAGCTTCCTACCATACAGACAGTGTCCATTTTGTTCATGGCATGGAGCACAGACAGGGGGAGTTCTGTTGTGTAAGCAGATGTTCTGCTCACACAGCTGAATACCACCCTCGTTCGCTAGTCTGCAGTCATAAGCATCCTGATATGGCAGGAAGTTTCTGTGAAATTAGTGGGAGTTTCTTCAGTTCTCTGGAGCAAACATGGAAAGAAACAGCCTGTCACTGCAGTAAAATAGTGATAGCAACCTCAAGGGTCTTAATCAAAATAACAATTACATTGTCTGTATTCAGGGCTGTTAAAGAATGCATACTACTTACTGCCGTCTACTGCAAGGACTGTTTTTCAGGTTCTCCTAATGTTTGAGCTCCACTCCTAGGCTCACTTCGTAACATGTCGTGGAGGGAATTAAAAGTCATTTTCACAGATACACTTCCTCACAACCTTCTGTGGATAACTTCCAATTGGAAAAAGAAAAAACCCTTTTCCTGGATACTGGAAGGCAAGAGGATATAAGCAAACCCAAGCTACAAGGCAAAAGGATATCAGCTTAGCTGAAAGATATGAGCAAACCTCTATTCCCTTTCAAGTTTGACATTATTCAGTGGAGCTAAGTAAGGCCCTAGCTGAGACAAATCTTTATGTGAAGGATTCAGCCTTTCTAACATCAGGCAATCACATTTGGGGATTAAAATGTCCCCAGGGTTTCTCTATTTCCATCTAAGTCAGCAGTTGAGCAGAGATCTGCGCATTTTAGTCCCCTATATATAACCTATTACTACACATTCATTACATCAAGGATGTGCCAGGTGATGTACCAAACAAGAATATTCCATGGCGCCTCCCACAGGGCTTATAATCTACACACATTTAAAGGTCAAGAAGGCGATTTGAGTCTACAGAAGCCAATTCAGAATACCAATAGCCTCTACTGCAGGCATAGGCTGAAGCAAGAACCATATAAAAACATCAGGTTTGATAGGGTTGCCATATGTCCAGGAATGGGCCATTTCTATTTTTTTAAAAAATACATATATAAGGAAAAACCCAAAACGAATGGTTTTTCTGCAAGATGTTCCAAAAAAAAACCTCAACAACTTTTCAATTTTGGGAATAAGGCAACCCTAGAGCAAATTCACTGCAGATGCATCACCACGTTATATTATACTATAGTGTATAATAGAATCACATTTCCTTCCTCAACCACACACCTATGAGCATATTTGCAGATAGTGCACATGGTCATTAAAAGGAATGGGGGGGTGTCTGTAAAAACCTCTCACATCCTCCTCTAGTGCCACTCCACAGCTTAATCAAGGACTCATATTGCTTTACCAACTGGAAGAGGTGGACAGATCCCCCAGTCCCTTTAGTGATCTTAAGCACTATCTGCATGAATGTGTATGCATGTGGTGATCTGGATCAAACTCATTATATCAATTGAATTTAGCAATTAGGTCAATGGTAGAGGAAAGATCTAGTGTAGGGGTAGCCCTTATGGTACCCTCCAGACTCTATTAGACTGCCACTCCCATCAGTCCCAGCCAGCATGGCCAACTGTCAGAGATGATGGGAGTTTCAGTCCAGCAACATCTGAAGGGGGCTACATTGGTTTCCCTTGTCTTCTTACTTTCCTACCTTCCTTTTTTAATTTGATTTTTTAAATTCATTTTCAATTACAGTCCAATAGCCTCATTATAACAATATCAATTTATAATAAAATTATGAATGCCAATCATTCAAATTCTGAATTATATAATTTAGTTAAAGTGGGGGCTGTCTCTATTAAGGCAGAGCAGAACCGGAAGCCTACTTTCTTACATCCCTAATGTACCAAGAAGTCCCCATAAAGTTTCTTTACTACAGTGGCTCCACAGTCATTTGACTACCAGATAGTCAAAATCATCTAAAATGGTTTAATTGCCCACAGATTTATAGTTAAGATTTTTAGTGCCAACACAGTGACAGGATTTTATATCATTTCCAGACTCAGCATTTCATAGGAGCTGGAGAATTGTGAATCATGAAGAAAAGCTGTTACGTTTGTATTTTGCCTATTCACACTTTACCTCATCACAGATGTCTATTGCAAGCTGTGAAATGCCCTCTTCTCAAATAGCAGTCCACATAACACTTAAGGTCTCATGCTAGATGTGCAAGTGACCAGATCTAGAATTTTAGAAAAGTCAGAATTTTAGGGTCATGGGGAGTTCTAAGTGAGCAACTTGCTGTCATAGACAAATATGTCAGTCTCTCAAATGTCTACCGTTTGCAGTCAATGGTGTCATTCAAATATAAAGAGAAGATTTTCATTTCATTTCAGCATATGCATTCATCAACATAATTAGCTCTCTTCAGTTGTTCTGACCCTCATGCAATAGGAAGGGCAGGAACAAATGTTCTAATTCTGATGTTCCTATTAGCCTTTACGAGTTGGAGGGATAGCTTCTGTAGCAGAGAGCCTTTTATACTTATATAGGCTCCACACATGAACCCAGAACTTCCAAGGTTCTAAATCACACAACAAACCCACACATGTAGAACAGACTGTCCTACAGAATTCCAGCCTCCAGCACATGGAAGACTGCGGGAGCAGTAATAGTGACATAAGCAAAGGAAAGGGACCAGTCAACTGATAATAACTGCAAGTGGGAGAATGCCTGAAGAGTGCCATTGTCTGAATATGCAGGTGAGCTTCTGGAATTGTGGTTATTCATAAGATAGGTCCTGTATTGTTGGATAACGAACATGTTTAAAAGAAGCATATCCTCAGATATGCAGATGACACAACCTTGATGGCAGAAAGTGAGGAGGAATTAAATAACCTTTTAATGAGGGTGAAAGAGGAGAGAGCAAAATATGGTCTGCAGCTCAACATCAAAAAAATGAAGGACAGATCGTGGACAGATGAAGGGGATGACAGAGGATGAGATGGTTGGACAGGGTTCTTGAAGCTACCAGCATGAGTTTGACCAAACTGCGGGAGGCAGTGGAAGACAGGAGTGCCTGGCGTGCTCTGGTCCATGGGGTCACGAAGAGTCAGACACGACTAAATGACTAAACAACAACAATCAATCCTTTAGAAACTGAGGAAATTTGGCATTCCAAATGAATCAAAACAAATACCTCAGTGCATATTGCATGATAACTAACATTCAAATTACCTTAAGCAATTCCTTCACAAACCTTGTTAGTAAGCTTTTACTGATAGCTTAGGCAGAATTAGCTTATATATTTTTAAAAATCTACATAATAGCTATGTAGTCATCAAGAAACTGACTTCCAGCACATGTTTAAAAACTCCAGATGTTAAATTAATGGTGCAAACAGAATTTAACTAGCAATATTCCTTTTATTTATGTAGTCTAATTTGTTTTCTTGCCGTTCCTATTTCCCCCTCCATTTTCTGAAATATATAGCTCACTGACTCAGTCTAGAAGGTATCCAGCGAGGAAGCTATTCCCATAATGATGTACAAAGAATGAATCATCATTCTTTAGTCACTTCTTCCCTTTATTTGAAACCTCATTTGAATTCATGGTTATTTTTTATTTATTTAAATAATTATATTTGCGAGTTCATCACAAAGTCATGCAGTTAAATAACTGACAGTATAATGGCCCTTCTATCCCAATAGACAAAGCATACTAAAATTAAGAAAGGAAATTTTCTCCACAGCGTATTTTGCCCTAAGGCTTCCCAATGTTGTCTCCACAGGAAAAGTATGCATGGACCAAACTATGGATTTTTTACTTTAGTTTAACTCTAGCTTGTTTTTACATCTTAGCCAAACCAGGCTTACAAACTATCTCTGGGGCCAACAAACCAACATCTGAAACCATGGGTATTATGTTCCTGATGTTATCCCACCAGAACATAAAATAGTTATTCCAAAAATGGGCTGCATCCAAGCAGTGCATCCAAGTCTCAGTGATATGGGAGAGACTGGCAGGGAGATGGGAGGTGACGAGCAGAAGGTAGAAGTCTGTGCTGTGGGAATTGACAAAGGAGCAAGGCAAACTTTGCTTTCTGAGGACTGGGCAGGGGGAACATTATAGAACTAGGAGTCGGATTGAATCATCCAGTGTGGTGTAGTGGTTAAGAGCGGTGGACTTGTAATCTGGTGAACCGGGTTCGCATCTCCGCTCCTCCACATGCAGCTGCTGGGTGACCTTGGGCCAGTCACACTTCTCTGAAGTCTCTCAGCCTCACTCACCTCACATAGTGTTTGTTGTGGGGGAGGAAGGGAAAGGAGATTGTTAGCTGCTTTGAGACTCCGTAGAGGAGTGATAAAGCGGGATATCAAATCCAAACTCTTCTTCTTCTTCTTCTTGAGCTGGTAAATGGACATACTGAAAGGGATTGAAAAGATGCTGAGTAGGAAAAGGAATTTTTCACACATAGCTGCAAGTTGTGGATCTCAGCTTCTACAAACTGTAGTTTGTTATTATGTCCAAACTTGATGTCATGGCTTAATTCTAAATTGTTGCATCACTCTATCCCTGCTCCCCCACCTAGCTACAAAAATGTATGGAAAGCCTACCCCCCCCCAAAAGAAAACGACTCACAATGCTAGGGCTCTCCTGGTCATCTCTTGCCCCACTTACTCTGCCTGGCAACAGGCTCATTTCATAGTCCACTGAGAAGTTATCCCTTTCCAGATCAGCTACCTGGGGAAAATATTTTTAAAGGAACCATGGGTGCTTCTACCCATATCTAATAAGGGATGTATGTTCAATGTAAGCATTTGTACAATTTAACCTAATTGTCTCCCTCTCAATAGCCACTCACTTTCCACTAAAATATTTCTGCAACAATCTACTCTCCCCTTTTCTCCTTTATCAATTACAGTTTATTGAAAGTTAATCATAATTTCATGCAAGAGAATCTTGCACAAAAATATAAAATTATGTATTAGCTCTTCAAACAATCTATACAAAAAAGAAAAAGGGGGTAAACCTACCTATTTACAAGAATAGTGATATAATGTGAGATACACACACAAAAAAACACCAGGTCTTATTAACATTCATGTCTTAAATATCTTCTGCTATAGTACCACATAATCAATCCCCCCACCAGTTATTCCTAACTCTTTTTACTGAATTGCACCACTGGTCCTCATTTATGTAGAGCTCATTTATATACTCCTTGCTTTCTTAACATTATAGTTAGCTTGATAACTTTCAGCTGTTACCACAATTTCCTAAATAATTCTATTTTACTCGGCATGCTATCCACTTTTCAACATTTGACATTCTTGCTAGGGCAAGTTTATAGAAAAAACGTTCTTGAGATGCTGTCCAGTCAGATGTGCTGAAATGTGTATTCCACTGAACTTTGCTTTATTGAAGTGATGTTGGCAGCCATTAACAACCATTGTTATGTACTAGTACTAGCACTAGGTGTGGCAGGCAACACCGCTGAGTTTCAGAAACCTTTTAAAAACATTGTTTCTGTGAGAAGATGTCTTTTGGGGAAACTCTTCAAGCTCTGGCACAGACGTGACTTGCCTCAACTGAACTGGCCTTAGAGGCCTCAAAAATAGTACAGGTTTCCATCATCTCAGGAGGGGGTGTGGCAGTCAAAAGAAAAGCCAAAACACCTTCCTGATTCCACTGAGCTGCTTGCTCAGAATCAGTTTACACTACAATGACTTGGAAATTAACACTTGGCCTTCCATCTTCAGGCTTACCTAACTGAAACTCAACCCCTCTAGGCAGTGTTTTATTTCCCCTTACCTCACCTTCACCCTTTGGGGCATTCCCATGCACACTCACTTCTCCTCTAACTCTGGCTTTCAGTCTGTTCTATTAGCGCTCACCACCAATATTACAATATGTCCTTTGGACACCACCAGCAGCACCCTCCACCATCTCCTGTGGGACCCCCTAGACCTGCCCATCTTCTCAGCTGTGCTTTCTGCAGTTAGGACTCAGATGGAGCAAGCAGCACCCCTCCCCCAAGTTTCTCTCCCTCAGGATGAAGAATCCAGCTGCAGCAATCAGAAACAAACTTCCATCTGTCCCCTGACCCCTCTTCACAGGAAGATAGCAAGATCCATTATATAAGAAGCTATATCGCCCACTGCCGGGAGAATCAAAAACACTATAGTGCTATTTTCACAAATTGGCATACCAGGCAGAGATCATACATACATAGCTAAATGTGAACTGCAACAGTGTAACAAGAATACAATCAAAAGACAAACGTGTTTCTTTGCCTCGTTCCTTAGTCCTTGCTGACACTCAGACCCACTCATACAAGTTTTTATATACAGTAGTACCTTGGTTTACGAACTTAATCTGTTCCTGAAGTCCGTTCTTAAACCAAAGCGTTCTTAAACCAAGGTGTGCTTTCTCATAGCAGCGGGGGACTCAATTTACAAATGGAACACACTCAACAGGAAGCGGAACATGTTCTGCTTCCAAAGCAAAGTTCACAAACCAAAACACCTACTTCCGGGTTTGCAGCGTTCTTAATCCAAGTAATTCATAAACTGAGCTGTTCTTAAACCAAGGTACCACTGTACGCTGATATATGGGTTGATGTAGCCACGTCCTCATCTTTGCCTTTTGGCACCTACCCTCTTTCTACCCTAAGTCAGAAAGCTATTACTAGCACGTTTTTGTTTTGTTTTCCCAATCTCTCATGCTCAACCGCGAAGCTGTAGTACTGAAGAAAAAGTGTATCTTTACTCAAAGAGTGGCCAGAATGTGAAAGGAATTATGTTGAGGAGCTTTGAGAGGAAAGGATTAACCCTTCATACGGAGTGTTTAGGAACAGGGGTAAGAAGGGAAGATTTAGGGAGGGGTAGCCATCTCAATGTTGTGGTACTCAAGGTCTCTTCAGCCCCAGCTAGTATGGCCAGTGGTCAAGGATGACAGGAGATGTTGTAGACCAGCAATGTATGGAGGACCACAGGTTCCCCACCCCTTCCTTCAGACTTTTTGTTGTTTGCTGCACGCTGAGAGTGGTTGAAGATTTGAGGAGGAATGTTCATGTTCTCCATCCCATTTTTGCACTTGGACAATAGTAAGAGAATTGGTGATGTGGTGGTGTTTTGCCAGTGCTTCAGCACTGCAAAGGATTTTGGTACTGCAGTAAGTTACTCACCCAGGAGTTTGAGACAACAAACAACCACCATTAGATAAAAATAACTGTGGTTTATTTGAACATCTGTGGGCCAGTTCCTGGCATGTTTAACAAACTATGGTGAAAACAAAGCTTGGTATGGCCAAGTAAAGCCAAGTGCATTGATTTGCCTTTGCAATGCAAATTTAATATTTTTAGTAGAGAGGGGGCCAAAAATAGAGGTAGAATGATAATGTAGAAAATGGAAATCTAGATAAGAAAGATGATCTTGTGAAAGTAAGTTTGCTTTTGGGGGCGGGGTAGAGAAACAGATGGTACTGAAAACAGTAATTAATATAAACAGAAAAAATGACATTCTGCAACCATTCAGCTTTTGTAGATGAACTCCATTATACTCATATTCCTATTACTTAATTTAAAAATGGAGTAGGCAAAGATTCCATCCTGGATAAAAATTGATCTTGCATTTTTATAAATGGCATAAACTGAGATGCTTCAATGGTTTTGTTCCTTTGGCAAGCCTTCCTGACAGTTAGAAAAGACCCAAAGTCTCTCGCCAGCCATCTAACAAGTGTGGAGAGCTTGAAAAGACAAGATCTTGCCTCACTTGCACCAAGGCCTGGATAAAAGCAGAAGAATCCTGCTGTCTCTTTCTAATCTCCTGTTGTGTGAGGAGTAGACAGTCATAGGTCTCTACAGTTTCTCTTCAGGAGGCAAGAGACACTCACACCTGGCAAGCTAATGGCTGCCTGGAGATACCTTTCTTTGCATCAGATTTTTTTGGGGGGGATTCCTGAAGTTGGGGGTACTTCCATTTCCAGTGTCTTCTATCAAATTTATTTACTTCTTTAAAATCATTCCACTCCATATAGTAACTTCAAGTGCTCAAGGAACGTCACACACATTATTGCAGTAATCTTTACACAAACATTATAGCACAATTCTATCATATAGTCATCGCTCCACATCAAACCCCTATCGCTCAAAACTGAAGTGTCTCTATGACAACACCTCCCATCAGAGAAGCTTTAAATTTTTCTGGTAGCTAGAAAGGGCAGCCTTTGCTCTCAGATGAAGGCTAAAGGTATTTGGAGATACCATGTGAATGCTTTAAATAGATGCCTGGATCATCCACTGGCTTATGGACTTCAGCCTTTCAGAATCTTCTGCAGCCATGCTCAAAAACAACAAAGCTTATAGTATAGTGACATGATCAGTAACTCCTGGCCTAAGCAACAAGCAGCTCTGGGAAAACAGAATTGGCACAGATGACATAGGCAAAAGAAATAATAGAAAGGGTAAGGCTAGATAAGAATAAACTGTACAGTTGGAAGGAACACCAAGGAACATCTAGTCCAACCCCCTGCGATGCAGAAATCACAACCTTAGGGATCTCTTCAAAAGATGAATCTGGAAATACCCCAGAATAAATATATTTGAGCTATTTTTGAGTGAATGGAAGTGTATTGAGTGAGTAGAATCCCTACTTTATGGATTTTGATGTTTTATGTGTTTTAGTTTTATGTTGTGTATTATTTAACTTTGCTGTCTGATTTCCTTTGCAAACCACAGTGATATTTTATGGTGGGGAAAATAACATAAAAATAGTAAAGCTCCCTTGGCTGCTCCTGGTAATCCTTGAAAGTGGCCTCTCTATGCATGTCAGGAGTAGATTCTGCAACATGTTCTCCAATTCACTTGAGTATGGAAAGTGCTGAATTCCATTCCAGTTACTGTTCATCTTAATATCTGTCAGAGGCAACAGTACTATTCCCTACCTCTGTGGATATTGTGCCCTCAGTGTCAGTATACTTACAGAAAGACAACATGATTTCATGGCAGGTAGCCAATGGTCAATGTCTCCACTTAGGATGAATGGGTGATATTCAACTAAGACATGCTTAGAATTGATTCAATGAAATCAAGCTACTTAAATTATTTGAATAGAACTAATCTGAGTTAGACTAACTTTGGCTATCACCTAATATAGAGATAGGGAGCCTATGGCCCTCCAGATGGGACTCCAGTCCTCATCAGCCCAAGTCACCAGGGCCAATGGCTAGCAATGATGGCAGCAACATCTGGAGGACCACAGTTCTCAGCTCTTGCCCTAATATTAATGTTTACTGCCAGTTCTCACAATAAGGAAAACATAGTTATCTGACACTACATTCTTCATTCAGTACTTATTTGGCAAGCATAGTTTTCTGAATATATCAGTGTATACATCAGTGTTCTCCTGTTATTACTTCAATAAATCATTTATTGTGTGGCACATGACATTTAACTAAAGGGTCAAGGTAAGATTATGAAAAAAAAACCTAATCACAGAAGAATCCCTGTGACCCAGAACTGTGTGATATTTGGTTGGGCTCATTAAAAAGTTGTGCAAAAAAGCACTTCACCAGCTGAAATGATTGCAAGAGGGTTCTGTAGTTCAAACTGCATTGGTTAATATTGTAAGGGAGATTTTCAAATAATAAAAACCAGCTATGCTGCCAGCTCAGACCAACACACCATTCTCTTAGCAAAGGGTGGCTAGATCTGAATGCTTCTGGAAGTTTGCATTTTGAGGTACTTAATATATTTGCAGTCAATCATCTGAAAGAGACAAACTAATTTGTTTGCCAGCAGGAAAGCTCACATTACAGTTTATCAGAGAGTGATGGGGAATCAAAGAGAACAACAGGAATATGCCAGTGATAGATCACATCAGATGAAGCTCTTCCCAGGAATAAAGCACCCTAGTACAGAGGGAAAATATATGTATATTTCACACAGAGAGAGCACCTGCCATGTGGCAACAATACATTTCTCCTTCTAGTGTTGTCATTTATGTCTCTGGGTCTGAAAAACAATTTAAACACACTTATTTGGCAGACATCATTTACATTGCAATTCAGAGCAGCTTCACACTTTATGTGGCATAGATGACTGCTATGTGTACACAGCAATATTTACACCAAGCACATAAAATGAAGATGACATACACATATCTTGAAAAAACTGTACATTGATCTGGATGCCCTAGGGCCTAGGCCAACCAGCACCCTGGCTGGGGACAGCAGAATTTTTTGGGCAGCTTACCATAACTCAAAGTAATTATTGTGTCAAGGTTTCTGGGGAAAATATAAAATAAAATATAAAAGTGCACTAAATTATTACTGCAGGGTGTGGTGACATCCACTAGTTGGCTTTTTCAAAATCTTCAACAATTAAATCATATATAACCAGAATATTTTATAAATAGAATTGGGGTGGAACATTTGGAAAAGATGTGGATTTTTTGTTAAAAAAACAAACCTGTGGCAAATAATAATAATTGCAACTAAATGGCGTTCTCCCCCCGCCAAATGTATCAACTATGACGGAATGATTTAACGGAACTTGGCATTTGGGCGCAATATGTCATATATCTGAGATGTCTGAACAAGTAAGCTCTTAAAACTATGGGCAGGGGGAAGGGCCCCCAACATTCTCAGGTGTGTAGGCTCCCTTTGTGTGATTGGTGCACAGATTTAAGGAGTGGAACACACTTACACATCTCTTCCCCAGTCGGAAACCTCGCTAAACAGGATTCCTAGTTACACAGAGGTTTCTAAGTATGTTCTGCTGAACACATTTATAAACCTGACTGTGCAGAGGTCTGATGTGGTTCCTGCATGCCCAGGGACAATGGTAGTCCCTGTCCTCAGCCAATGTTTAAGACAGTGCATGCTCAAGCAAATGCTTGAACAGCATCGATATAGGCACTAACCTATACGGTATAAAGCATTTTCACTGCTGATATTTGGTGTTTTCTTTCTATCTCAGTCTTCCCCTGCTACCTTCCTGACATTTTGGACTACAACTTTGGACAGCATGGTCAATGGTCAGGGATGATGGAGCTGTAGTCCAAAACATCTGAAGGGCACCAGGATGACAAAGGCTGGTCTTTACGACTGCGTACGTGAAATCTGCCATACATTGCAAAATGTGGATAATAATGATAGATGATAGATAGATATAGATAGATAGATAGATAGATGATGGATATAGACTTAATTCATCTGGAAAGAAGAGTCCATGGCTTTAAATTGTAATGTAGCTATTATTATAGCCCTGAAACAGGATGGGGGATCAGGATATATGATTATAGGCACTAGCTTTATTATACCCAACTGATGTGCTGAACAGGCACTGGACAGAAATGTGCTATTCAAACACATTTTCAAACTACTTAGCATTTCAAAGTTACAGCATGCCTGTCTGGTTTCATTTTGCCCAAAATAGTAATGCTTTCCATTTTTCAAAATTCTGTGAATTTATCTGGAACTCCCTTTTAACAATTGGTCTCAGACAGTATAGATAACTGTAAGAAAGAAAGAATAGGAATACCTCAGTTTTAAAAAAGTAGCGCTTACTATGGAAATCATTTTCAATAATAACGATGCCGTTTTTAACAATGTTCATTTTAAAATCAGTAATGGTAACTACATTTTCACTTGGAATCTGCAACTTTCTTTAAAATTCTTCCAGGCTCATTTACCTGAATAAATTGACTCCTTTCTCCATGTTTTCAGAATGCTATCTACAGTAGCCACAAATATGTGAGTCATAACTAAATATTTTTAAATAATAGCAGTACAGTAATCACAACCATCATCCCAACTTTTTGCTTAGGAGATGTAACATTGGGTGAAATGGCTTGAAGAAGCAGACATGCCTGGCAGTGCCGCACAAAGAAGAGGAGGAAGCAGCAGCCACAAAACAGCATTTCCACCCACCCTAGGTGCAATCAGCATACTCTCCTCCTTGGACTGCAGCCCTATCCCACTCAGCAAAGCTGCTCTCATGCCTGGGCTTCAGAAGCAACAGCCAGGTAGAGCCTGGGCTGACAGCTAGAAGTGTGGGCAAAATGAAATCTCTGTTAGGCAGCACAGGGAGCAGTTGAAAGGGAACTGGACAGGGACAAAAAGTTGAAAGGGAACTGGACAGGAACAAATTCACCTCTGGGGTCATCAGGCTAGTACAATCCATATCTCTGTTTATTCAAGAAGAAAAGGATTATGTGTGCTCTGTGTGGTTGAACAAGTCTCACTTGTGTGCATGAGAGAGAGAGAGAGAGAGAGAGAGAGATCATCATCTCAAAGGCTTGGCTGTTTCCTATCTGTAGAATGGGCACACAATGCATAATGTTATACATCTCTATCATTCCCCCTTGCTTGACTTCCCCCCCAAACTAAACATTCCTAAAAGTTTCAATGCTTTCTTATAGTGGAGTCACTCCAACAACCTGATCATTCCTCTTCTGTAAAAGCATTGGGTTATAGCTGCTTATCTGAACCATGCATGTCATTTAAATTATTTCTAGTCTGCAGTCACAAACCATTTTCTCTGGAGCCCTGACTAATACAAGTTCAAACACTTGTTTTAAAAGAATATATATTTCATATGTTAATCCAGCTATAAGTAAAACTGTATTTCCACAAATAATGAAGTATATCCATTTCACGATCATTCAGCCAGCAAGCAAAATTTCCTCTAACTGTGCATGCATTTAACATTTGATAGCATGACCATGCAGACTTCACATGCCAAAAAGACAACAAATTCTTCTAACACAGGCAAATATGTGAAGGAAAAGCCCTGAAGTATAAATTATAAAGAACAAACCAACTTATCAAAAAGTCAATAATAATAATAATAATAATTATTATTATTATTATTTCTACCCCACCCATCTGGGCAGCTTTCAACAGAACATTAAAAACAGAATAAAACTTCAAACATTAAAAACTTCCCTAAACAGTGCTGCCTTTAGATGTCTTCTAAAAGTTGGATAGTTGTTTATTTCCTTGACATCTGATGGGATGGCGTTCCACAGGGCGGGCGCCACTACCAAAAAGGCCTTCTGCCTGGTTCCATGTAACCTCACTTCTTGCAGTGAGGGAACCGCCAGAAGGCCCTCAGACCTGGACCTTAGTGTCTGGGCTGAACGATGGGGGTGGAGACGCTCCTTCAGATATACAGGGCCGAGGCCGTTTAGGGCTTTAAAGGTCAGCACCAACACTTTGAAATATGCTCGGAAACATACTGGGAGCAAATATAGGTCTTTCAGGACCGGTGTTATATGGTTTCGGTGGCCACTGTCAGTCACCAGTCTAGCTGCCGCATTCTGGATTAGGTGAAGTTTCCAGGTCACTTTCAAAGGTAGCCCCACATAGAGCGCATTGCAGTAGTCCAAGTGGGAGATAACCAGAGCATGCACCACTCTGGCGAGACAGTCCGCGGGCAGGTAGGGTCTCAGCCTGCGTACCAGATGGAGCTGTTAGACAGCTGCCCTGGACACAGAATTGACCTGCGCCTCCAAAATGACTCCCAGGCTGCGCACCTGCTCCTCCAGGGGCACAGTTGCCCCATTCAGGACCAGGGAGTCCCCCACACCCACCTGCCCCCTGTCCCCCCAAAACAGTACTTCTGTCTTGTTGGGATTCAGCCTCAATCTGTTAGCCACCATCCATCCTCCAACCGCCTCCAGGCATCATGTAAACAGAATATAAATATGGTACTGCAGAAATCTAAAGTACCAGGCGTGGTTAACTGGCTATATTTCCCAGCACAGCAAATTAAAAATCTCTCTCAAAGAAAAGCAAGGCAGTTTTATGCAAACATCTATTGAGAGCAGACTGCCTATTAAAATGTGCTCAAAGCTGGTGCAGCAAGGTCATTCATTTCTGTGGGTTTCCACACTACCTCTACCTGCAGGCTCTTCTTGCTTTTCTTTTTATCTTTAAAGCTCATATCCATCCAGTGATTTGAAGTCCCCAAGGACATAGTTATAGAGATTGTTACATGTTCTAAGAAACCTGAAGTGAAGCTGTTAAATGAGCTTTGTGTAAGTTAGCATATCAAAAAAGGGGGGAATATGAAGTATTCATACGTACACCATCTAAGAATTAAGACTGGAGCCACATCCTACTTAAGGTCAACAAATCACTCCTTTGGGGGAATAAGAATCATATAACTGACAATTTAATGCATTTTATCCTTAAAATTGGCAACAATTACTGGATAAATTGTATTATGTAGGTGGAAAGGGTAAAGAAAAATAATGAAGACTTGTGAGGAAGGACGACAGGGGCAAAATAGCACATGTGCTGATTACAAAACAAGCCTCATATTATGAGATGTTTATTCTACTTGATTGGTTACCTATGCATTTTGCTGTGCAGCTGTTAATTAGGCGTCTGAGAATGCTTACAAGTCAACCATATCTGCTGGTTTTCAGTAAAGCTTTCCTCTGTGAAGCCTCAAGTTAAAAGCATTAATTGAAGTGTGTCTGAAAATACTTTTTTCTTCTTACTGTGGCTATTAAATAAGTAAGCAAACTGAGAAGCTGAAAAAGAAAAATATTAATTTAGAAGTGGAATGGAAGATATGATTCATGTACATGCATAGTATCTTCCTTGCAACCCCTTCATTAACATCAACAGAAGAAGAAATATGTGTGATGAAAAATGCCAACATATGAGGTGGCCACACACAGCATTCAAAATGAAAGTATATCAGACCATCTCTTCCTACCCAAAGACACCATCCATAGTAAAACTATGGAAACTATTATGTCTGTTCACATGAGCAACTGGGTGTGCTAAATGTGTGGAGGTGGGTGTGCACATCAACCAACTCTCCTTCACAGTTCCTGTGCATATACAAGTTGCACTTGCACAGACTTTGACCACTGAGCCATGAATCAGGTTTTTTCAGGATTCCTATGTACATGGACAAGCCAATGACTGTGCTGAGGTTAGGGTTGGAGCCCATCATCATGATCCTGCCTCCCTTCTCCTTCCATAGTGACATAGATCGAGGGTTCCAGAGTGTTAGAAAATGGTAGAAATTAATAAAAACTAGTATTTAGAAAATATTTGGGATATGAGGGGGAAATACAAGCTGCAGAACTGTGCCAGACAAGAAATTCCAGGGTTGGCTTATGCAAACCAGCCAGGCAGGGTGAGCTAAGTGGAGAGCCATTAAGAAACAATGCAGAATGAAATACAGAGCCATTAAGGGCCATTTGCAATGCAAAAGAACTGTCCCCCTCCCTGGCTCTGAAGATTGGCAGGTTGCCAAGGTGACAGGGGGCATGATGTCACAGGAAAAGTTGTCCTTTTTGAACTCTAAAGGTGTTCTGGGAACAAGAAAGAGGAAGAAGGGAGAACCATCTTGGCGCTGGCTGGAGGAGGCTGCACCAAGAGATGGGGAGCCATGACTGACTGCTTTGGACCCAAGCTTGCTGAAGCTATGAGAGGGACAATGAGAGACACTCTTGGGATACAGTGGTACCTTGGGTTACAGACGCTTCAGGTTACAGACGCTTCAGGTTAAAGACTCCGCTAACCCAGAAATAGTACCTTGCGTTAAGAACTTTGCTTCAGGGTGAGAACAGAAATCATGCAGTGGTGGCATGGTGGCAGTGGGAGGCCCCATTAGCTAAAATGGTACCTCAGGTTAAGAACAGTTTCAGGTTAAGAACGGACCTCCAGAACAAATTAAGTTCTTAACCTGAGGTACCACTGTATATTGTTCTATAGTCCCTCCACTGAAGACTCCAGGTGTAGACATGTGTACAATAAACCATATTTCTTAAAAGACAATAGCCTCCACTGTGCCTTGGTTTCCCCAAGAAAAACACAACCCTGGGTGAGCACCTGGAATCCACCTGGAATCTTGGTATCACTCAGCAGAGATTGGGGGTGGCATAAAACTTTCAAAATAATACATTCAGATTGTATACACATGACCATTTGCTCCTGCTCCAGTGCACTCCCACCACTGCTGTTTGAAGCAGAGTGTACATGGCATATGTCACAATCAGGGGCAGATCTTATATGAAACTAATGGAGCTGAAGCGTCAGGACCCCTAATCCCGGAGGGATCCCTGAAGCTACTTTAGTTCACACTCAAATGAATTACTTTTTTGTTGTATATATTTCAACAATCCCTAGGTTGCCCTGGCCAACCTCTGAAATAGCAATCTCACCCATTCAAATGTGATCACCTAATAATAGACAGATTCTGATCTTGCATTGCTTATACTTTTTTGAGTAGCCAATTCTCCTTTTCCTCAGTCCTTTGGTCATCTTGGTGTGCTTATTCTTGGATTCATAAGAGCTGCCAACAATTTTTATCTAGTGGAAATGATCCATGTCTTTGGTATGCGTTCACAGATCAACAACCTCATTCACTGTACTTCTTCAAAAAGAAAAAGGGAAATATATTTAATTATGCAAAAATCAGTCCACTTCAAGAAAGCAATTCAGCATCTTTACTGGTCATTATTATGCCCTAACAGCAATCAATATAAAAAAACCACCAATATAAAATCAGGGTTTAAAATGATTCCTGGCTCTTGTTTAACGCTGTTATTGTTAAGGCTGGTTAAAATACATCTTCTGCTTACAGCAATATTTAGCATGTTCTTTGAAGAGTTTCGTTTGTACTGCAGGGAAAGGAAACCTAAATCCAGATTGTGTATTCAGAGGCATGTGAGGCTTTCTAACAGAAATAAATAAAAGGCAAACATTAAAACTGCCAGAGACTGAGGAACATCCACAGTTTCAAAGCCAAATGGAACCTTAGTCACACAATAGACTTTTAAATAGGCATTAAACAGTAAAACCACAAGGAATCATTCAAGCGCAAAACTTCTATTAGCTATTTCCCCAGATCTTGCCTGTCCAACAAGTCTTATTTCCTATAAAAGATACTGGGTTTCCAGATCTCCTCTCATAAAAGCTATTGATATTTGCTTCAGGCCATATAAACTCATCTTCCTTTTGGTTTAAATAGAAATTAAATTAGTGGGGAACCGAATCATACGCAGGAGGAATTCAGGTGGAAAAAGTAAGTGAAAGAATGTCCTTGAAAATATGTTTTCAAATAATCACCATGTTCCTGGCTTCAACTAGACTGTTCCAATACATACTATTTCAGCTGACACTGCATACATGGTTTAAGAGCT